CAATCAAGGTGAACAGGTGAAACAGGTGAGGAAACTCGAATTGAGGCAGTTCTGAAGGCAAAAGGGGGTCCAACCCGTTACTAGCATGGTGTACCTAATAAAGTGGCCGGTGAGTGTATATATATATATATAAAATCACTCTACAAAATAAAACAGACAGGTTCTGTGCTTTTTAAAACAATAAAACCAGTTGGGAACAGGGTCTGTGTCTGCTGTTTGATCTTTCTACTTTCAGACTCTTCAAAGGAAGAAAAGGTAATAAAAAGTGATGTTTTATTTTATTCCTCAGTGAAGAAAAGAAGGCCAGAACCAGCAGTGATCCTGCACAGGCCTGCCAGTCCTCTAGGTCCGATCAGAGCTCATTAGGCTCAAAGTCCTGCCCTCGAAGCGGCCTCTCCTCCGTGGCTCGGCTGGTGAAGGTGGGCCGCTGTAAGAACGTGGTGGTGGTGGCCGGAGCCGGAATCAGCACGGCCAGCGGCATCCCGGACTTCAGGTCTGTATTTTTATCCTCATCGCTCTGGACCCGATCACTGATGTCCCTCTGTGGGTCGAACAGAACCTGGTTGAATTGCTGATCTGAACCTGATTGAAACCTTTCAGGACTCCAGGAACAGGTCTCTACGCCAACTTGGAGAAGTACAACGTCCCTTACCCAGAAGCCATTTTCAACATCGACTACTTCTCCAACGACCCGCAGCCTTTCTTCTCGCTGGCCAAGGCTCTGTATCCTGGGGTTCACCGGCCCAACTACATCCATTACTTCATCCGCATGCTTCACCACAAAGGTCTTCTGCGCCGAGTGTACACGCAGAACATCGACGGACTGGAGAAACGTGAGTGAAGTATCACCAAGTTATCTAGAGAAAAATGCTCAATTACCACTAAATACTAAATTATGTTTTTATCAATATAATGTTCTTCAGCTCTGCTCTGTTGATGGATCTTATTTTAGTTATTACGATATGTTCACATTATTTTAATCTTTACCATAAAACATTAAACAGGTATGAATAATTTACACTATTTCAGGGTTTTCAAAGGTTAATCTACCGATTTTTCCTAATTGCCTAATCATGTTTTTACACTTTTAAAATCTCAGTCTCAGCTTTCGTCCTTTCAGTTTGTGGTATCCCAGATGACAAGCTGGTTGAGGCCCACGGGAGTTTCGCCACAGCTTCCTGTCACCTCTGCTACACTCCATATCCTGCTGATGAGGCTAAAGTACGTCCCGCTCTGTTCAGACAAACACGACTGGTTCATCCCGGTGATCCTCTGTAACTCTGCCTGCTTCACAGACAGCCATAATGAACGACAGCATCCCCACGTGCTCGTTCTGCGCCGCCACCGTCAAACCAGACGTGGTGTTTTTCGGAGAGGACCTCCCTCAGAAGTATTTCCTCCACACCGAAGACTTTCCAAAAGCAGACCTGCTCATCGTTATGGGCACGTCTCTGCAGGTAAACGTGCCGTCAAATCAAACGCCGGCGAGCTRGTGTGTGCCGTCGTCAACGACCGCCTCTGGTTTCAGATTGAGCCGTTCGCCAGCCTGGTGAACACCGTGCGTGCCACAGTGCCGCGCCTCCTCCTGAACCGGCACGCCGTGGGGCCCTTCGAGAGGYTCCCCCTGCGGAGACGAGACCACATGGAGCTGGGGGATCTGGCGGAGACCGTCAGAAGGTTCGCCAAACTCCTGGGCTGGAGCGAAGAAATAGAAGAACTGATGAAGAGGCAGGAAGTGCCGGTGGGTTCAGGGTTTATTTGGATCAGATCGATTTAAAGTTTGATTGRACTGTTAGCAAAATATCTCATTAATCACTGGATGAAACATTGATGTAAGTTTACCACTGATTAAATTTGAGTAAACCCATTGAAGATGACTGAGATTCTACTATTTAGCTGTTTTATTTACAGATGTTGAGCTAAAATTTGGTGTAGCTGAGTTATGCTATAATCAGGGTTCCTGCGGATCCTTAAAGTCTTAAAAAGCCTTAAATACATCAATCCAAAAATAAGGCCTTAATTAGCCTTAAAAGGTCTTAAATCAGTCTTCAGAGGTCTTAAAAATGTTAACACGTTGTAAGTAGGGTGACTGTAATTTGTATCAAATATTAAAATAATTGGTAACATTTATTTATTTTTGAAATATTCCTATTCAGATGTTCCCTTTTGTACACCACTTCACATGCAAATATCTCAACAACTGTCCATCTGAGCAATGTGAAATTTGTTTTCTTATGTTAATAATGTTGTCTTTCCAAAAATACATTCATATTTCATACAAAAATTTGATGTCACATGCACTTTAAGGTTTCATCTACAGCCAGCTGGGGTTGAGAACCCACTGTGAGTCATAAAGCTACAAATGTTGTGTCATTAGAAGATTTCCAGAAATTAAATTAAGTTTACAACTGACTGCTAAGAATGTTTTTTTTGCTATATTTGACAAAATAGAAGTTAGATATGGATAAAAACAGTTGGTCTATTTGCAATATTTGAACAATTCAACCAAAAATACTTTGATTCAAGAGTTTCTTCCAGTTTTACTTTTTTTGTCATTTGTTTATTGTGAAATTGGTCTTAAATTTGATTTCATTTGGCATTAAAGTCATTTAACTTGCCTTAAACTGTAGGAATCCTGTATAATGCATGAGATCTRGCATAACTTTTAAAAAGTTTGACAAACTTTATCATTTCTCAAAAGATAAAAGAGGCTAATGGTACTGACTTGCTCCCTGCAGAGCCTCCCTGCACTGGTGACCGGTGATGCAACACTTTGTCAGAACGCCTCAGCATCACAACCTGAAACATCCAGGTCCAGACGAGGAGCCGGCAGCGGCGGCGAGGACACCGACTCAGAGACGGACAGCAAAAGCTGCGCATCGTCCAACGCAAGCAAATAATGTGTTTTTGTTTTTTCAATCCAGAGTGGGAATTGTTTCTATACATTTACAAAAGGTTTTATCAAGTTTCATATCATGAGGAAGCTTCTGCTCATACTAGTAACTCATTTCCGTATGTGTATTTTATACTGGAGGCTTATTTTGTATGAATAATGCACTGTATTCTAAGCAATATTTAATAAAYTTAATAAAATGAGTCAAAAGAAGACAACCATCCTCGCTCTCCACTTTTATTTAAACTTCAAGTGGTATCTTCTCTGAATAAAATAAGTAGTGGTGCCTACAGTACGCAAGAAGTGTGCAAAAAGAACAAAAAATAAGATTGACTCCCCCCCCACCCCACGATGCATGCAGTTTAACCGTACCTCTTYAGATTGTGGCAGAAAACACAAGGAAAGATCTGTACTCAGATCAGTTTACAAAACACACTAAGAAAAAACATGAATGGCAGAGAAATSTAAATGTAGGACGAGGCTCAGAGTATCAAAGTGTTGGATTAGTGATGTGAGAGCAGGCAGTGGTGATTGAGGTGAATCGTGTGCTTCTGATTACTCACCGTTTTTTTCCTACCGAGTAAAGCTTGGTAATGTTTGTACATGAAGCCGACATCTTACAACTCAAGCAAATAAATTATAATTTGGCTAAAATAAAACTTTGCAGTTTAAACATTTCATTCTCATAAAATTCACCACAGGAAGTTTTTTTTTTCTCCTGAAGTGATCATCAGCCCTCAATCCAGAAAGTTTCATTCATAAAAACTCACTGAGCTGCCTTTTTTTGATTTTCTTTAAATTACACAATCTACATTCTCAACAAGAAGCATGAGTTTAAGCCAAAGGAGTGCTTTACTGTCCCGCCTCTACCACATTTTTATATTTAAATATATGTTGGTACAAAGATAAACTTTAAACTGAAAGGAATAAAAAACACGTGAAGGAATGATTTATCTAACCTTGGCAACAGTGCGGTTAAAAACTATAAATCCAGCAAAAATATTCAGATTTTTTTTTGGGGGGGGAGCAGAAAAACTAGTGATGCGACAGTGACCATAAAGACCTCCCTTCAATAAGAGTGGCCTGAACACAACCTGCTGCTCGACAAATACAAAAACCAGGCTAGGAAAGTAGAGTTTTCATTTCAGTCCTTTAAACTTTAAATCCACGATTAATAATCCTGCAAAGTGTAGCAAATAGATGCTCGACAGTAACAGATTTATGTTTTTCAGCCTTTAACATGCCAAACTGTTTGCCAGTGGTTCAGTATCTTAAACTCGTTACAGTAATCTGGGCGTCCCAGTTCAATGTACAGCGTTTGTGCTACTTCTTCTTTTCGCCTGACGCAGCCACCTCCCAGAGGGAGACGTCGAAGTGTGGCGCGGCGCAGATTTGTTGGACGATCTCGAGTCTCGATGGAGGCGTGAGGGACCCCCACACCGAGGACTTAAAAGTCTGGGGAAAGTGGCCTGAAGTGCACTACTCAGAGTCCGATTCAGAGTTCTCTTCGGGAGGATCGCAGAGGGTTTCTTCGAGAGGCGCTAACGTCCCGTCAGGCCTGACGCCCATCGGTCGGATGACGTTCTGCCTGTAAAAAAAACATCAGATTTTCAAAATTAACCTTAAAAAAAAAAGCCTCCCTGTTCTGGACTCTGCAGTCCTAATGAGGGTTTTCACTTGTATGAATTCACTCTGTATTCATACACATCTCAAGGACCCTCATACCCCCCAACCTTTCATAGACAATCAGCCCRGTTTGACCGTCCTCCCTCCCCTCCTCTGCTTTCCTGTGGCAGTTTAATTACAGGATCAGTACTCACCCTAATCTCCTCAAAGCCACCACTGCCTCCTCAATCCTAATCCAATTATACCTGCCCCGTGTGTCAGCGCTGCCTGTAAGACGGCTCATCTGAGAAACATCCATCAAAGATTTATTTATTTATAAATGTTATGATTTGAAATATTCAAGTGATTCCTGGAAATAAATGTGATTTATTGAGGGGATGTTAAGGTGCCAAAAAATAAAAGTTGAAGGAACATCATATTTAGTGTTGTTTGTCACAATTAAAACATTAAACTCTCCCCCAGGAGTGACAGAGGGCCGAGCAGGTGCTCGGCGTTAATTAGAGGACCGGTTCTGTTTTTGGAGTGGATTCTTTCAGGGCGCTGAGACATCTCCTTAGCACCTGTACCGACGGAGGCACCTCTTTGTCGTCACCGCGCCTTCGCCGGAGGAGGAGAAGAAAGAGGAGGAATCTTCTCATTCTGGCCACGCGTGTCTCATTACAGCCCTCTGAGACCCGACAATAACGAGGTCTGCCTTCTTATGTCCGCGCGTTTATTCAGCCGTGTCCCTTCCTCTTCATCCCACGTTCCACCCAAATTGGTTTGTCTGGTTGCGCCTCTGGTCTCAGGCCACTTCTCGTCCGACCGGTGATTGGCTCTTCGAATGCGAGGGGGAATAAAGTCAGGACGCGTGGTATTAAAAAAAAAAAAAACTGAACGAGACACATAAAGGAAGCGGAGCCGACGAGTCGACCGCGCTCGCCAATTAGGAGCTAATTAACGCGGAGGTGGTAATGATGCTGTAGCAGCACGCCGGCGAGCTCCCATTTAGCCCCAGCTGAATGCAGCAGGCTTAATTGAAGCTGCGTCTGACGGCGGGAGATTCTTCTGAGGGGGGAACCGGTTGGCAGGGAGGAAGCTCAGCGTCACCTTTTCTGCAGGTAGCYTTAGCCTCCTGCTCACAAAAGACAAAAGGTCAACACGAACACAACAGGAGCTTCTGCTGAAGAAACGCCGGCGTAAAGAAATATGAGCAACTGTTGCAGAAATAAAAATAAAATCATCTGAGCTGAGTCGTTTCATTAATAATCCTCCAAACTTTTGACATGTTGGCTAAAGTTTTATTGGTTTTTATTGGTTTGGTTATGGGAATGTTTTTTTTTTGTGTGTTCAGCTGTGCTTTTATTTCATATCCAACGTGTAAATAAGAATGAGGTGAGAAACATCAGGATATATGGGATTCTTTTATCCATTTTGTATTTTTAAATGTATTGCCTTGAATTTTTATTGTTGTGCTAAATGGCTTTTTATCATTTTTAATCATGCTTTTTGCCATATTTTCAGCAATTTTTTTAATGAAAGTAACTTGTTGATTTGTATGTATTGTATTTATATCTCTAGAACCTTGAAGGGCTACAGATGAAAACTAGCCTCCGTGGCTAATTCTGGCATTTTCTGTAATATGTACTGTCCCTTCTTAAATTAAATAAACAAACAACAAGGTATAGGTCCCAAAATCTCATCATTATAAAGACAAAAGCAAAAGATGTTAACTGGTGATCAATTGTTCAGGAGATTTGTCTTTAATATTGAAAAAGAAAGAATGCTAAATCTATAATTTAAAGCTGATTTGTGTTCCTGGAATGATTTTAGCGTTTAACTTTCAATGTTAAACCATGAAAAAGAACTGAATGTAGTCGACTGAAGTCTTATTATAAACTAATATTTTAAATAATTGATATCAGATTCAGAATTTATGACCTGTGTTATAATAAAAAGCTGTGTCTGTCGTTTTCACCAGTTTCTGATCCCATAAATCCGTTTGGCTCAAAGCTTGTTTTGCTGCTTTGGTCGTTACTTTGCTTTTCTGTTTGGAGCTGAGTGCCGTTTAAAACTTCACCCGCTGAGCTTAACATTTATCATTAATCAGAGCTTTCATCTGATGTGTTGTGATACAGATGAGAGGTTTCAGTGCCTTGCCTTGACAACTTGTCAAACATCTTGGCCAGATTCTCCGCCTCGTACTCCTTCTGCTCCTCGGTCATCTCTTCAATCGGATTGGGCATGGGCTCCTCCACGTGACCAGTGATGGGGTTGATGCTGGGAAACAGGAATGAAAGAGTCTGATGTAGATTAATGTTCTCTCCGTTTAAAACCAATAAAACGCGCCGACTTCACTCACAAAGGTTTGGCAGATTTGTATTCTTCTGTGTCCGAGTCTTCGTCTTCAGAGTACTGAGTCTCTCCTCTTCCACCTGCAAGGAGACCTCGAGCCACGAGGAGTCCCGCCGCGTTTCCATATCCAGTGTACTTCAACAGATTGTCCACTAAACAGGCGARGACGTGCAAGAAACACAGGAATGTTTGAGACAGGAAGGTTTCAGCCACTCTGAGGCTCTGCTCCCGACTCACCGCTCTCTTTGCAGAGGACGAAGAGGAACTCCGCCGCCGTTTGCTTCACGCCCATGTCCACATGTGTCATGAGGCGAACCAGCTTGTTCCTGATGGTGCTGCCCACCTCCGGCCTGTTCTTCACATCCTTCAGAGGAGGAAGGACCTGTAACAAAAAAGGAGAACGTTGGTTTCTCATGTAAAGTCTTTGTTCATTGTGYTTTTCTTTTCTGTAATCACCTGAGCTTTGAGGTATCTGCGGATCTCCCTGTGACATCTGGACCCTTCAGTTAAAAGGCTGAGCACCGGAGTCAAACCTTCTTTGTAGTTGGAGCCCTGCTTGGAACCAAACAGACCAAAAACACTTCAAAATCCTCAGGAGCTGGACCACTGCAACATAATGCTCCTCTAATGAAATTCAATGGATCACACCACATGACAAATGTTTTTTTAATCATGTAAAGTTGTAAATTAAAGGAGACATATCCTGCTTTTAAAWCCTTCTTTTTRGCATTTAAATCATTCCYTCAGGCTTTATATAAAGTGGAACTGCAACACTTTGGTCTGAATTCCTCCTCATTGTAACGCCACAAGCCCCTCTTTTATGGGATAAATCTTGTGCCAYCAGGAATTGAATTTGAATTGCTCAGATTGAATCTGAATGTGCATAATTTGAAATTGAATGCATTGGTTTGAAAATAAATTTCACTAAATTAAAACTGAATTTAAAGTTTTGAATTTGAATTAATTTGCTTTGAAACTATTTTGGTCTATTAAAAATTTCAGTTTGACTACTTTCACTTTCAGCTCCATAATTTAATTTCAGTTCCAAAATTGAGATTTTTGTGTCACATCCTGGTCCTTGAGAAAGCCAGCCAGAGTAATCAAACACAGATCCACAGATTTATGTTTCACTTTGGTGAAGTTTCCCTTCTGTTTGTAACAGAGTTGATTCAATCCACTGTAAAAGTGACAAAAACAAAGTTATTTTATTGCAGTGATTACTTTTAGAAAATATTACATTTACATCACATCATGGATCAGTCAGCAGCAGCATCTGATCAATATGGGATCCATGATGTGATGTA